TCCTCCTCCTCCTCCTCCTCCTCTCCTCCTCCTCCTCCTCCTCCGACCCCATCTGCTCGAGGCCCTGCCCTGGACGGCCCGGGAGGGGCGGCGGCGGGGGCGGGAGCGCGCCGAGACCGCGCCGCTGGCGCGCGGGTCCCAGACCTCGCCCGCTGGGCGGGCGCCGAGGCGAGACGGCGGGCGGCGGGCAAGTCAGCGACTCCGAAAGGTGTGGTTTGCAAAGGGTGTGGTTTGCAGCTGGCACCCTCCGGGGCACCCTGGGGGGCGGGCGGGGACCTCGATGGAATTCTCCGCCCTGCCCCGAGAAGGCTCAACGAGGACAGTGTCGTGATCTCCAGGCCCCAGCGGCGCCGATCGCAAACCACACCCCGGCATAACCACACCCTTTGCAGTAGCCGCGCAAGTTCCACGGGAGGGCAGGGCGAGGACACAGTCGGATGAGGAGCGGCCTTCGACGATGCACCAGGGGTTGCTACAGGTGCCCCTGACCCAGCACGATTTCCAAGGACGCCCCCACGGCGTCCAGAGCACCCCTCACGAGGCCCAGAAAGCCCTTGGCCCCCAAATTGAACAAAAAAGCGGGGGGGCCTTGGGCCACGGGCACCTTCCGCAACCCCTGAAATTCGGATGCGGAGCTGCCGTCGACGATGTGTCTGGCGCCGCGGCATACTCAGAGCGTTCCAGGTTCCAGACGCCCTGAGAGCGTTCCAGAACGCTCTGGCACGGATGGAATCCTTGTCCCAGCTCCGCTCGACAACTCCAGGGGGGGGGGGCCGCTCCATGGGCCGTGTTGGACCATATTTTTGAGGCCAGAGAGGCCAGCGTGCCGACCAGCAGCAAGCAAAACACTCGCGGTCTTCCAGTGATTCAGGCGGCCCGGGGGCCTCCAAGACGGCCCGAGAGGCACCTACGAGGGTGCCGCGCGGTAGAGGAGTACTAGCGAACGAGCGACCACACGCTGCCCGCACAGTCCTTGCCAAGCGATGACCAGGTAGGTGAGGCCAAGGCCGGGCTACTGGCAATGTTGCGACCAGGCCCGATGGCTTGCCCAAGACATTCCTTGTTCGGATTCACCGTCATCATATGGTTACAGCATCACCATGGCTCTTCTCTTTTACACTGGAATTCCTTGGTGATGCTTTCCGAAGGATTCTTTGTGTGAGGCTTTTAAGAATAATCCCTTTGTGGTGCTTTCCAAAGGATTATTTTTTTTTGCGAGGCTTTCCAATAGAATATGTTCGTGGTGCTTTCCAAAGGATTCCTGCTGTGAGGCTTTCCAATAGAATCCCTTTGTTGCGTTTTCCAAAGGATTCCTTTTGTGAGGTTGTTCATTAGGATCCTTTTGTAGTGCTTTCCAAAGAATTCCCTTTTATGAGGCTTTCCAGTAGAATCACGTTGTGATGCAGAGGAGGCGGAGGAGGAGGAGGCAGAGGAGGAGGAGGAGGAGGAGAAGAGATATCTATATATATATAGAGAGAGAGAGTAAAAAAAGAAGAGAGAGAGAGAGAGAGAGAGAGAGAGCGAGGGAGAGAGAAAGAGCGAAAAGAGAGAGAGAATGGAGGAGAAAAAAAGAGAGAACGAAGAAGAGTGGAGGAGGATGGAAAGGACGAGGGAAGAGTATGTTATGATTCAAATGTGGGTGGGGGGGGGGGGGGGGTAGATCGCCCCTCTCCTCTTCCTTCCTCTCCCGCTCATCCTCCTCCGCTCCTTCTTCGTTTCTCTCTCTCTCTCTCGGCTTTCTACTGCCTTGTATTCCTCTCTCTGAGACTCTCTCCTCTCTCTGAGACGAAGAACCGAGCACTCCCTCTTTCTTGTCTCCCCCCCCCCCACCCCCCCACCCCCCCCCACCCACTCCCACCCCGCTCTCTCTCTCTCTCTCTCTCTCTCTCTCTCTCTCTTCTCTTTGTCCTCCTCCTCAAAGAATCCTTTGGAAAGCACCACAAGGGGATTCGATTGGAAAGCCCAATAAAAAATGGAATCCTTTGGAAAACACTACAAGGGGATTCGATTGGAAAGCCTCAAAGTAGGAATCCTTCGGAAAGCACCACGAGGGGATTCTGTTGGAAAGCCTCACAAAAGGAATCCCGTGGAAAGCACACAAAGGGATTCGATTGGAAAGCCTCACAAAAAAGGAGTTCTTTGGAAAGCGCAGCAAAGAGATTCGATGGGAAAGCCTCACAAAAGGAATCCTTTGGAAAGCACAACAAGGGGATTCTATTGGAAAGCCTCGCAAAAAGGAAATCCTTTTAGAAAGCACCACAAAGGGATTCGATTGGAAAGCCTGACAAAGAGATTCGATTGGAAAGCCTCACATAAGGAATCCTTTGGAAAGCACCGCAGAGAGATCCGATTGGAAAACCTCGCAAAAGGAATCCGTTGGAAACCACCACGAAGGGTTTTTTTTTTATCTGTGTAGGCGCCGCGCGAGCACGGCGGTTTCATGCACGCATTCAAAGCCGCGGGACCAGCGCGGGGTCCCGCGGGGCCCCGCGGCGCCCGCTCACCGCCCGATCACCTCCATGAACGAGGCGCAGAGCTGGGCGACGTCACGGTCGCGGCGCTCTCGATCCAGGCGCGCACGCCGCCGTGCGAACGGCTGCTGGCCCGTGGCCTCTGCAGAAACCAGCAGAAGCCTGTGGGCCGAGGCCGTCCAGTCCAGCTTCTCTGCCAGGCAGTCCTCCTGCAGCAGCTCCTCGTCATCGCGCGCGATGCACTGCTGCCCAATCTCGGGATCGGCACCGCCGTCCCCTTGGCTGCCCTGGTCCTCCGTGAGGCCGTCGAGCGTCTCCTGCAACTCGCAACTGCCGATGCTCTGCTCGCTGCCGAGAAGCTGCGCGTGCTGGCCGTCCTTGCCGAGCGTCTTCGTATCGAAGGGCTCCCACTGGCTGTAGACCACCGCGCCGCATGTGCAGCGCAGCCGCCGCCTCGCCCATGCCGTGCAACGGCTCCCAGCTTCCCGCACCTGGAATGAAAGCTGGGCTTTCCCTGCGGAGCTGCACGCCGCGCGCCTCCTGCCGCTGCGCCCGCGGCGGCGCCAGCCTCGCGGACTTCTGGAAGCGCCTGAGCTCCCTGCCGCTGGCCGCCGCCCGTGGCGCGACTGCCGAATGTTCAGAAACATTCCGCCGCAGGATGTCCACGTCGGTGAGCGGGGCGGCCGCCACGCCATCGCGGGCCTCGATCTGGGCTCGAAGAACCGGTTCGATGCCCATCCACCGCTGGCGCAGTTCGTCTGCATGAGGGTCAGGGTGATCCCCGTAGCCCAGGTGCCGCAGCAGCTGGTTGAACTCCGACGTCTTGTGCCGCAGCTGCTCCTCGAGTGCTCGAACTTGAGCACGAGCTGCTGCAAGCCCCGCGTCGGCTGCCACCAAGGCCCTCCTCCGAGCTGCCGTCCGCGTCGCTCTCGATCGCCGGCCGCATGCTTCTATGCTGGAATCGCCGCAATGGGGCGACTCCGCCCGTGCCATCCCAAGCGGTCCCGCGCGCGCTGAAGCGGGCGGAACACAGGCTTGAGCCAAAATGGCTACGGACCACGAAGGGATTATATTGGAAAGCCTCGCAAAAGGAATCCTTTTGGAAAGCACAACAAAATGGATCCGATTGGAAAGCCTCACGAAAGGAATCCTTTGGAAAGCGCCACAAAGGGATTCGATTGGAAAGCCCCACAAAAAATACCCTGTGACGTACCCAACCCATCTGTATCATGGGAAACGAGGAGTTGGCCGAAACTTGCATGGACAATCAAATTGCAGGATCCGTTGTTTGATATGTAAACTACTTGGGACACGCGCCTATGGCATGATGCGCAGGAGAACCATACAAGAACGAGGGGCGACACCTACAGGCTCGAAGAGGACATGGGGAGTCGGGAACGAAGAGCTGGAGAAAAACGTGAGGGAAGCCCACTGCGCTGCCCCCCCCCCAGCAGGCTTCGAAAGTGGCGACAGTTTCACAGATCGCAGCCCCCCAGGGATGGCGAGGTCTAATTTCAGTCCGCGGTGTGTACACTGTGCTGGGCCCCCCAGCAGGCCTCGAAAGTGGCGACAGCTTCACAGATCGCAGCCCCCCAGGGGTGGCGCGGTCTAGTTTCAGTCAGCGGTGGGTACCCACTGTGTTGGGCCCCCCAGCAGCCCTCGAAAGTAAGGAGAGTTTCACCGATCGCAGCCCCCCAGGGATGGCGAGGTCTAATTTGAGTCCGCGGTGGGTACCAACTGTGCTGTGCCCCTCAGCAGCCATCGAAATTGGCGACAGTTTCACAGATCGCAGCCCCCCAGGGATGGCAAGGTCTAATCTGAATCCGCGGGGTGTACCCACTGTGCTGGGCCCCCCAGCAGGCCTCGAAAATGGCGACAGTTTCACAGATCGCAGCCCCCCAGGGATGGCGAGGTCAAATTTGAACCCGCCGTGTGTACCCACTGTGCTGGGCCCCCCAGCAGGCCTCGAAAATGGCGACAGATTCACAGATCGCAGCCCCCCAGGGATGGCGAGGTTTAATTGGAGTCCGCGGTGTGTACCCACTGCGCTGGGCCCCCCGGCAGGCCTCGAAAGTGGCGACAGTTCACAAATCGCAGCCCCCCAGGGATGACGAGGTCTAATTTCAGTCCGCGGTGTGTCCACTGTGCTGGGCCCCCCAGCAGGCCTCGAAAGTGGCGACAGCTTCACAGATCGCAGCCCCCCAGGGATGGCGCGGTCTAGTTTCAGTCAGCGGTGGGTACCCACTGTGTTGAGCCCCCCAGCAGGCCTCGAACGTAAGGAGGGTTTCACAGATCGCAGCCCCCCATGGATGGCGAGGTCACATTTGAATCCGCCGTGGGTACCCACTGTGCTGGGCCCCCCAGCAGGCCCCGAACGCAACGACAGTTTCATCGATCGCAGCACCCCAGGGATGGCGATGTCTAATTTGAGTCCGCGGTGTGTACCCACTGTGCTGGGCCCCCCAGCAGGCCTCGAAAGTGGCGACAGTTTCACAGATCGCAGCCCCCCAGGGATGGCGAGGTCCCAATTGAATCCGCCGTGGGTACCCACTGTGCTGGGCCCCCCAGCAGCCCTCGAAAGTGGCGACAGTTTCACAGATCGCAGCCCCACCAGGGATGGCGAGGTCTAATCTGAGTCCCCGTAGGGCGTCACTCCGCTGGGCCCCCCAGCAGCCCTCGAAAGTGGCGACAGTTTCACAGATCGCAGCCCCCAGGGATGGCGAGGTCTAATCTGAGTCCCCGTAGGGCGTCACTCCGCTGGGCCCCCCAGCATGCCTCGAAAGTGGCGACAGTTTCACAGATCGCAGCCCCCCAGGGATGGGCAAGGTACTATTTGGAATCTCGCCGTGTGTACTCCACTTTTGTGCTGGCCCCCCCCATCCTGCCTCGAAAGTGGGGACAGTTTTCACAGATCGAGCCCCCCAGGGATGCGATGTCACATTTGAATCGCCGTGGTACCACGTGTGCTGGGTCCCCCCAGCACCCTTCCGAATGTGGCGCAGTTTCACAGATCGTCAGCGCCCCCCCAGCGTAACGGATTGAGTCACATTTGAAAGGCCGGCCGTTGGTCGACCATGATGCTGGGGGCCCTCCCTTCAGTCATGCCGCCGCAAATTGGCGGTACTAGCTAAGTTTTCACAGATCGCAGCCCCCCAGGGATGGCGAGGTCCAATTTGAATCCGCCGTGGGTACCCACTGTGCTGGGCCCCCCAAGCAGCCCTCGAGAGTGGCGACAGTTTCACAGATCGCAGCCCGCCAGGGATGGCGAGGTCAAATTTGAATCCGCCGTGGGTGCCCACTGCGCTGGGCCCCCCAGCAGGCCTCGAACGCAACGGCAGTTTCACCGATCGCAGCCCCCCAGGGATGGCGAGGTCACATTTGAATCCGTCGTGGGTACCCACTGTGCTGGGCCCCCCGGCAGGCCCCGAAAGTGCCTACAGTTTCACAGATCGCAGCCCCCCAGGGATGGCGAGGTCACATTTGAATCCGCCGTGGGTACCCACTGTGCTGGGTCCCCAGCAGCCCTCGAAAGTGGCGACGGTTTCACAGATCGCAGCCCCCCAGCTGGCACGCAGCGACGAGCGAAGGCAGGGGGGAAGAGAGGGACGGGGGTGGGTGGGAAGGAAGGTTCGCGCGAGCAGTGCTCTATTCAGAACGAGAACCCAACGCAGGAGGGTTGGGAAGTCTATTGGAAAGCCTCACAAAAAGGAATCCTTTGGACAGCCTCACAAAAGGATTATATGGGAAACCATAACAACAGGAATCCTTTGGAAACACCATAAAAGGAATTCGAATGGAAAGCTTCACAAAAAATGGAACCAGTTGGAAATAACCCTTTGGACAACATCACGGCCAGGCGTTGTTTTGTCTGGTTGTTCTGGCCTGGGGGGGCTCACAAAACCTGGCCAAGCGTTGGGGTGTCTGGATATTCTGGTTTGGGAGCCCACCGAACCTGGCCAAGCGTTGGTTGTTCTGGTTTGTCTGGTCTAGGGCTCACAAAACCCGGCCAGGCGTTTTTTTTCCCAACCATCCTGTGGTGTTGGGTCCTCGTTTTGAAGAGACAGCGCCCCGCGTTCACTCCTCCTCCTCCCGCTGCCCCCTCCCTCCTGCCATCATCATCATCATCATCATCATCATCATCATCATCATCATCATCATCACCATCATGACGATCATAGGGAGCTCCAGCGAAGGCCCCAGTGGCTGCGCTCCCATGCGCCCACCGCACCCATTTCGGCACACCCCTCACACGTTTCGTGGCCCCATAGGGAACTCCAGCGAAGGCCCCAGTGGCTGCGCTCCCATGCGCCCACCGCGCCCATTTCGGCACACCCCTCACACGTTTCGTGGCCCCATAGGGAGCTCCAGCGAAGGCCCCAGTGGCTGCGCTCCCATGCGCCCACCGCACCCATGTCGGCACACCCATCACACGTTTCGTGGCCCCATATGGAGCTCCAGCGAAGGCCCCAGTGGCTGCGCCCCATGCGCCCACCGGCAGAATTTTCGGCACACCCCTCACACTTTCGTGCCCCATAGGGAGCTCCACCGAAGGCCCCAGTTGCTGCGCTTCCCAATGCCCCACCGCACCCATTTCTGCACACCCCTCACACGTTTCGTGGCCCCATAGGGAGCTCCAGCGAAGGCCCCAGTGGCTGCGCTCCCATGCGCCCACTGCACCCATTTCGGCACACCCATCACACGTTTCGTGGTCCCATGGGGAGCTCCAGCGAAGGCCCCAGTGGCTGCGCTCCCATGCTCCCACCGCACCCATTTCGGCACACCCCTCACACGCTTCGTGGCCCCATAGGGAGCTCCACCGAAGGCCCCACGGCTGCCGTCCGAATGCGTCCCGCACACCCATTTCGGCACAACCCTCACACGTTTCGTGGCCCCACAGGGAGCTCCACCGAAGGCCCCAGTGCTGCCGTCCGCATGCGTCCCGCACACCCATTTCGGCACACCCCTCACACGTTTCGTGGCCCCCCCACAGGGAGCTCCACCGAAGGCCCCAGTGGCTGCGCTCCCATGCGCCCACCGCACCCATTTCGGCACACCCCTCATACGTTTCGTGGCCCCATAGGGAGCTCCACCGAAGGCCCCAGTGGCTGCGTTCCCATGCGCCCGCCGCACACATTTCGGCACACCCCTCACACGCTTCGTGGCCCCATAGGGAGCTCCACCGAAGGCCCCAGTGGCTGCGCTCCCATGCGCCCGCCGCACACATTTCTGCACACCCCTCACACGTTTCGTGGCCCCCTAGGGAGCTCCAGCGAAGGCCCCAGTGGCTGCGCTCCCATGCGCCCACCGCGCCCATTTCGGCACACCCCTCACACGCTTCGTTGCCCCATAGGGAGCTCCACCGAAGGCCCCAGTGGTTGCGCTACCATGCGCCCACTGCACTCATTTCGGCACACCCCTCACACGTTTCGTGGCCCCATAGGGAGCTCCACCGAAGGCCCCAGTGGCTGCGCTCCCATGCGCCCACCGCACCCATTTCGGCACACCCCTCATACGGTTCGTGGCCCCATAGGGAACGCCATCGAAGAAGATACTCACAATTGCGGTACTCGCAACTGCATCTGGTTGGCTCCTTCGCCAGGGTATTTGTTCTTCCTGTTCTGACGGCATCAGTTCGCAAGCCCCCAACCTCCAGGCTAGGTTTCGTGGGCTCCCAAATCAGACAAGCAATAAAAACCATTGCCTGGCCAAGTTTTCTAAGCTCCCAGACCAGAAAAAAAAACAGAACAACCAACGTCTGGCCATG